TGAATAAATGTTGAAATAAAATTAATTAAAGTTAAGTTTAATAAATCAAACCAACATTGGGGGTCTTCATGTTACTCATGTTTGAGAATATCACTTTAATTGGTGGAGGGAGCTAAATTCTCTATAGTGGGCTGGGAATCAGTGCTTCGTCCAGTAAAGTTGGGAAAAGAAATATTTTAAGGGCTTCACTTCTAAGAATAGAGTAAAAGATGATTCACACAGGTATTTTCTCAGTAGCTGCCCTGACCTGGAGCAATTCTTCCTAATAAAGCCCCACCTAAAGTTCTCAGCAACTAGCAGCTTAGTAACAGTTCTTTTTTTTTTTTTTTTTAATTTAAGATTTTAGAGGAAACTAAGTAAAATTCAGAGGTGGCAGCTTGTGTATCTATTAACTGACTTAACTCCTTTTTAAAATTTTTATTACCCTAAAATACCATAAAATTCACTGCTCATTATGGAGGTCAAAGGAGATTATTCTTGGTAGAAACAGTCCACTTTCATGAGTGACGCTTTACCCACAAAATGCTGTTCTTGAGTTGCCTTTAATTGCTTTAGTTCTTCCTAGCCTTACAGAAATTCTTTGAGGTTCTGTTGTTGACTCACTTCTATTTCTCATGTTGTTTCCTCAAATCAAACTGATTATCTTTTCCTTTAGGAAAGGAATGAGGGTAGGCTCTTGAGTCATTCAGTGTGGCCAGACCACCAAAAGGCACAACTCTAGGGGGCACCCTTCATATTAGTCTAGATGAGTATCAATCACATTTGCATATTGTATAACATGATGGCTCTGCTGCCTGGGATGGCATCTGACCCCAAAATCTATTATGTAACTTTGGACAATTACTTAAATTCTTTGGATAGGTGCATCATCTGTATTTTTAACCTCAAACATACTTCTCCAATATTTTATTTTATGTCACTGGTTAATGACATGACTTACATGTCACTAAGATAAGAAACCAAGGAATCAGATTGAATTCCCTCTTTCCTCTGATCCTGAATGCAATTAGCCCTAATGCCTGTAGAAATATCCTTTCTTTCTATCCTGCTTCTAATGTCATATTATAGTTCTGAGATTTCTCTTGTTTGGTTATTGCAGTGGCTTCCCAATTGGTCTCTTTACTTCATGTCTGCTAGTCATTACAGCTGCCAGAATCATCTTCCTAAAATAGTTCAAATAAGTTAATGCTAATCTCAAAAATCTTCAGTATATTACAATATTAAATAAGCATTTCTGCTAGACCAGTTCTGTGCTAGATTCTAGTACTAAAGGGAAACTAAAATAGGAAAAATCCTCTCCATTCATTACAAAACAATGGGATCTGTGTAAAAATACAACTAGGGGTACATACCAAATCCTGTAGAAGGGTAAAGAAGAAAGCTCCCTTGCCCCCATTTCTTAAATCTTCAGTGTTCTCTGGGGAGACGCCTGTCACTTAGACAAGTGTTTAAGAGTATTCAACAGATTTCTTCTCTCTTTAGAACTCTGTCCAATATTTAATTTTTTATATTTCCATAGGGGTAGGTTGTAAACATTTCCCTGGGCTAGGATAACCCTTTTGGTTCCTTTTTTTTTTTTTTTAAGATTTATTTTTATTTAGTTATGCATAGAAGAACTGGGGTGTAGGCTAGAGGGGTGTGTGTGTGTGTGTGTGAGAGAGAGCGTGTGAGAGAGAGAGAGAGAGAGAGAGAGAGAGGATTCACCAGAGACAGAGTGGGGAGCAGAACAGGCAGATCTACTGAAATACCCCACCAAGGCGAGCAGCTGGGGAAACAGAGAAGGCCTGCTATGCCATGTGGGTTAGCTCCCTAGCTGGGGATAGAACTCAGGCCTCAGAGTTGATAGCATGATAGCACAGCACAAGACTTAACCCCAACGCCACCACAGAGGCCCCCTCCTGGTTCTTATATGAGACAAATAAATCCAAGTGCCCAAAGCATGGCCTGGCACATGGTAGATAAAATACATGGTAATTTTTTTTCTGGCTGAAGTAGATCTGTGTATTGTTGATTTAATCTGCCCCTAGCAATAACCATCCAATATTAAACTCAAAACTTCTACCTCTCCTCTGCCTCTTCAAGAAGGAAGTAATTGTTCAGTCTCAAGCAGAGAAGGAAAAAACAAAAAAAAATCACTGTTGTTGCAAGGTAGGATGATAAATACTAAAAAATTTTCTGATGTTCACTCAGCATGACATAGCACTTCTCTATTTCTGCCTATAAGGGCTAAGGGAGTTAGGATAATGTGGGTAGTGGAGACAGGAAAAGGAACATTAATACTGTATTAAATAGCATTTCATATTTGTGTGGGGTGCTCTGTTTTAACTTGAAGACACGGAGATGGATATGACTCAAGCTGTCCCTACATAAAGTCAGTCTAGCAAGGAGGAGCAGACATTTAAATAAGCACACTAGCTTGAAAGTTTTTTTTTGCTGTTGTTATTGTTTTACATGCTATTGTTTGAGGGCATGGTCTTTTCTAAGGTTGGGTGAGAGAATAGTTTCAGAGGCAGTAATGCTTCAGTGTCCTTAAAGATTTTTTTTCTCTAGGCCAACTAGGTGGGAACAACCTTCCATGTTTGAACAAAAAAGCCTGAGGTTGAACAGCTGTCCAGGGCTCTGGGTGTTAAATTCGAGGAACAAGGAAGAATTATATAGTTAAAATAAAAACTAACATTTTAAAAGTATAAGAACCAGGTACAATGTTAAATACTGCAAAGAGGTCTCAACAAAAAATTAGCAGTATTCCTATTTTAAGGTGAGAAGCCAATGGGACTAATATTTATTCTTGTCTAAAGCCTACGCAAAAATCACAGTAAGGCATTTTCTCAGGAAATGGACTACAGAGCCCCAGTTTTTTAGTAATAAATCAGAGGAGTGACCTGATCAGATTTCAGAGTCCCTCTAGCCCCAGTGGCAGGGATGGAGGGAGAAGGAAAACAGCAGTCCTGTAATTGACAGAACACTGAAGGAAGACCTCTAAGCGGCGAGGGTTACTGAGGATCTTTAGGGCAGAGGCCGCGGGCACCTGGGGAAATCTGAGCGCGCCCCGGCCAGGCGGCTCTCAGGCCTGCTGCGGTTAGACGTGGTCCTCAGCGGTGAGCAGCGAACATCCTTACGGTCTGGGGCCTAGAGGCCCCGCACTCAGGGTCGCCTCGCAGAGATCAACGTTTAATCGAAGCTTTAGGTTTGGCTTAGGGTCAGGAGGACGCCTCACTCGCTGGCCCCAACGGTCCGCGACGGGGAGGCGCACGTCCCGCCCCCGAGGCGGGAAAGCGCTGACTCATTCGGTGGGGCGCGCCGGCTCCGGGCGGGGCTCGAGCCAGGCCCCCCTCCTCTCTCCTCACGCGCCCCAGGCCCTCTGACTCTCGCGAGAGCGCTCGACGCTATAAAAGCGGCGCCTCGCGCGGGCTTCGCGCTTCCTCCCGACTCCTCGCGGTGGTGTCTGTGCTGCGGCTGGTGAGTGTCCGGGCAGCGCGGCCTCGGCGGAGTGAAGTAGCCTACAACTCCCTGGTCCCCTGCGCTCGGCGCCCGCCCGTCTCAACGAGGGGTGCTGTGACGGGAGAGACGGTCAGGCACGGCCTGGCGCCCGAGAGTGGTCAGGCGGCCCCCTGTGGGGGCCGAGACTTGCTGAGTCCCGAGGCTGCCGTCGACTCGAGTTTCCATTTCCCGCCCTCAGCCCGAGCCGTGGGTTGGGGCGGCGGTGGGGAGGGCGGGTGGTGCTGCTGGCATCTCCTCGACGCACCGGTCGGGCCGGGCGGGTTCAGGAAACTTCTAGAATGGGGGCTACCAGTCGTGTGGTAGGGGTAAATGGCTGTTGCGTCCCGAGCCTTGGGTAGCTGTGAGGCTTGCGGTGCTAAGATTTCTTCCCCGTCTTTGTTCTTCCGTCTGCGGAATGGGGCGTGTGATCTCAAGAGCCCCCTGTGAGCGCTGCGCGCTCTGCTGGTGCTTTCTGAAGCGCTTGGGTGGGGGGTGGTGATGGGAGTGGTTGAGACCCGGCGTGGGGCGTGGGGCGTGGCCTTGGTACGGGAAGTTCTTGCGCAGATTGCCAGGGAAGCCCACCCCCCTCCTGCTGGAAGGCCTGCAGCCTTTACCCTTGGTTGGTCGGGCTTTAGTGGACTTGGAAGACACCTGGAAAAGCAGGTTTGTACGGGAAGACCATGCCAGTTTTCAGCGCACCTTACTGATTGGTGGTGTTTTTGTTAAGTAGTAAAGTTCCGATCCATGCTGACCACTTTTTTGCTGTGTTAACAAAAAGTGTTGGAACTTGGGGAGTACTTTCCTTGGGATTTTCAAACCTGTTGCTTATTGAGTTCAATCTTAATTCCTTATCTTGGTTAACTAAAATGCATCCTTGCGTAATAGTAACAATTTGGGTTTTGTTTTGTTGCCTCAGGATTTTAGCCCTAAGGTCAAAAGTGCATTTTTGAAAGAACTTCTAAGGGCTGGACTACAACACCTAAAGTTTTGAAATTGTGCAGGTGCTAGAATCCTGGTTTTGCCTCAAAAAGTTGGGTTGGTTTTAAGGTATAGGCTCTCTTGGATATTTGCCTGGCGAAGTGAAATGTGCTTCCCACTATTAACGAGGGAAGATGAAGGCGCATTCAGAGGAAGGGCAGCATGACTACTATAAGGAGCTAGGCATTCAGTATTTACTGCATCTTGTATTTGGGTTCTGGTTTTAGTGTCTACAGTTCCTTATCCTCCCTTTCTGTATAATGAAAATAGAGAACAAAATGCCATTACACAGAAGTGATAAGAGATTTCAATTGATAAAAGAAGTTGTTTTTAAATGAAAATACTGAAATTCAGAGACCTATAGTATTTAATTTCATACCAAAGTTGGAAAGCTCAGCTTGTTCTCTTTTTTTACTAAGGTACTTTTAAGTGCTTCTGGACAATTTATTGCTTAATGTCCTAAAGCCGAAGTCTCTAGGTGAAGACTGCTGGTTATCTAGAAAATTAAAGCTGTTTCTAACTTCCACTTTTATCTTTTCCAGCTAATATCAAGATGTCTTCAGGAAATGCCAAAATTGGGCACCCTGCCCCCAACTTCAAAGCCACAGCTGTTATGCCAGATGGTCAATTCAAAGATGTCAGCTTGTCTGACTACAAAGGTAAAACTATATTATAGACTTATTAAAATGGAGTTAATTTACAATCTACGTATGGCTTCAAGGTCTTCAGGCAGAAGACCTGGCTTCTGTTGAAGTGAAGTGGTTCTTATCTACAGTCATTACAGTAGATATCCTAGGTCCAGACTACTTCTGGAGAAAGCACGTGCTTTATATTCCTGGACATGTTTCTCAATTATCTTCTTTAGTATTTAATTGTAACTTATTGGAGATATTACTTGTTATCAGGGACCTTCCACAATTTAAAGTCTCAGAACTTAAAATTTATTTTTTTAAATTGAAGTGTAGTTAACACACAATAATTTAGTTTTTCAGGTATATGGTGATGTGATATTTGTATACACTGCAAAATGAACAAATCATCTGCTTATCATCTTTTGTTAGTAACTTTCAGATTTATAATGTATTCTTGGTTATAGTCACTGATGTATATTACTTAGAATTCAGGTCTCTGGAGCTGTGACACTGCTTGTTCAATTCAGTTTATGAAATAATGTGTATCACAGCTACATTATTAGACAGAAGGCTTAGGCACATTTCCATGAGTGTTTTGTTTTCACAGAAGAGTTGATGTCATAGTTGGAACAACTCTCTTCTGTTCTAGTTTCATGTAGATGCTTGACAAGTTCTAGCAAGGCTCCTCCTTTCTTTATTTTGCTATGAGTCCCAGAACAGAAAGGTCTTCTGGGACACTTGAGGATTCCTTAAATGCAATCTGAAACTCAAGTGTCTAGTATACCTTTCTTGGATAGAGCTTGTGACTAATTGTTTCCTAACATATCACAGTTCTTTTAATGAGAACAAGTAGGGTCCTATGGAGGGACGCTTTTCCTCACAAACTGGTAGCACTGCTTGGGGAGGTGACCCTGGCACCCAGGGTAATGACATGCGGTTTAGGTGTTGCTTCTCTTTTTGCCTTTCAGGACTTGACCTTGCAGAGACTTCAAAGTGCTTGCTAGGGGAGTTTGTTTATATGTGACTTTCTATTGATTTTGATTTCAAAGTGAGTGGCCAAAGGGACAGCTTATTTTGACATTTCAAACACTGCAACTACTTGAAAATAAGTGAAATTTGGAATTATCCCAATAGCTCAGCCCATTAAGTGTGATGAAAGGCTGTTGGGCCAGTTGAAGATGTACTTCAATTTGGTAACCTAGGTGACTGCATTAAAATTCTAGCTAGAAGTCCTGTTATCTACTAGGACTTTTGGAACTTTTGTCTCAGGAAACTTTCCTTGTCCTATAGGTTTGTTAGGAAATTGTTTATGGTTATTCAGGTGATCATTTAGAATGTTGGTGGTTCATTGAAAAGTGCTCTGACTTCCTCTCTTGTTGGTCTTCTGTTGCCTTTCAGCAGAGAATCCAACAATTCAACTTTTTGGGTACTGATTGTAAGCATTGGGATTATGCTCTCTGTAGATAAAATATATCCTTGGATTTGCTTTTTCTTCATTAGAGAAGAATGAATAGTGTTCATTCTGTAGTTGACAGCTTGATCTGTAGACTCAAAAATAAAGCCTGGAACTGGAAGGAACTTACCTGCTACAAATAGGTTTTTTAAAAGTAGCTGTTGGGAGATATTTATATTGGTTGAGCATCTTGGTATTTAACAATTGTATCTGCTGTCAACTTTTAAAAGGTCTTCATTTTCTGTAAGAAAATGTCTTTAGTTTTTCATTCTCTGTTAAGCAAGGAAATCTGTTTCAAAGACAAACTGGCTTTTTCTTACAGGAAAATATATTGTGTTCTTCTTTTACCCTCTTGATTTCACCTTTGTGTGCCCCACGGAGATCATTGCTTTCAGTGACAGAGCAGAAGAATTTAAGAAACTCAACTGCCAAGTAATTGGTGCTTCTGTGGATTCTCACTTCTGTCACTTGGCATGGTAAAATTTCTTGGTCTATTGAAATATATTTATTATTTTTTAAAATAAGCAACAGGGAGGCTTGGTAATAGACTTTCCCAAATATTGGCGGGTGTAAATGCTGATATCCTCTTGCTCTCTTATTACCTAGAAACGGGGAAGCAGCTCAAGTTGCAGCTGAGTATACCCTGGTGACCTTATCTGTTGTAGCCATTCACTTTACTGCTGGAAAATATTTGAAATTTTCTGGGAAAATAAGATTAGAAATGTTGATGTGGATATAGGCATAGGTGTTGTTTTATTTGGTGAAAAATTCATAGGTATTGTTAATATTATGTATCACATCTTGTTTACATAATTGCATAATTAACAAATACTAATTTTCTTGAAGAGCTGTATGAAAATAAGTATGTTTTTCTATTCATGTTCATGGAACTCCTATATTCTAACCATGGATCCCTTGTGGATTCAATTAATTACAGATTAAAGAATAAAGTAGCTGTTAATGGTTGAAAAAACAAAAGAAATGTTGATGTGGAAGGAATAGATATAGTTGATACTTTTATTACAGAAGAGTGTGAATGAATGCAATTGTATTATGCCTTTTGTTGTAGGATCAACACACCTAAGAAACAAGGAGGACTAGGACCCATGAACATTCCCTTGGTGTCAGACCCCAAGCGCACGATTGCGCAGGACTATGGGGTTTTAAAGGCTGATGAAGGCATCTCATTCAGGTATCTACTTGTTGGGTGGCGGAAATTCATCAGGAGAATTATCAGTGGCTGAGGGCCTTGTTTTATTTGGAAAAAGGTCGAATCTTGATCTGTAGGAGGCTCCTCTTTAATTCTTTATGCAGGGGCCGCTTCACTGTAAAGTTATAATCAGTGTAAATCTGGGAGATCAACCCATTTCCATTGCTGCTTTATCCTAACAAATAAATTTCTAAATCTGTATTATGTTTTCCTCAAACCTTCAATCTTTTTCCCAGGGGCCTTTTTATCATTGACGATAAGGGTATCCTTCGTCAGATCACTGTAAATGACCTCCCTGTTGGCCGCTCTGTGGATGAGACTCTGAGACTAGTTCAGGCCTTCCAATTCACTGACAAACATGGTGAAGGTAAGCCAGTCTACTTGGTGACAGTACAATAGAATGGTGGTAGGGGAAAATGGTAAGAACAAAATCTACCAAATAAGAAAAGAGTGATTATTTGTCTTCATGAAATTGAAGTGGGGGTTGTGGGGGTGGGGTAATGAAAGAACATGGTGAAGAGAATATAAAAGCTTTTTGTTTCAGTTGTATTTTCCCAGCTTCAGCCCTGCTCATCTAGAATCACTGCTACAGATTTTAACCTATTAAAGGGGAGTGTATAAAGTTAAGACAAGGCAAAGAATCACATCTAGACATAAAAGTATGTCATTGTTGACAGGTGTTTATTGGTAGAAGAGCTCTAATTCCTCTAATCTATATTTGTTTCATTGGGGTTTAAAAATAAAGGTTATTATATATGACTACTTTGAAATTTGAAAAATAAATATAGGACTAAGATTAATTATCCAACAGAATAGGCAGGCGTTAGGGCTAGAAGGTATCAGGTTAAAATTACCAAGGTTCTTCATTGGAATTTCAAAGATAAATTTTTGTTGGGCCTCCCCTGGTGGTGCAGCGGTTGAGCGCTGGGCTGCGAGGCTGCCTGCAGACTCTGCAGCGCCGGTTTGTTCCCCGGCCGCTAGTGAGGATCCCACAAAAAAAAAAAAAAGATAAGTTTTGTTAAGTCTGTCCTTCTAACACCTAAATATGGTTGGGCAAATTCAACTTAGGTTTTTATCTAGATTGTAGGTAGAGCCTTCTTTTCCTGAGCCACTTGATGCCACCTTTTTGAACTGTAAGGCTGGATGTAGCCTTTGGAATTTTTTTCTACCTGAAGTGCAGTTGTTGCTGAGATAGGAAAATGTTACCCTAACTAAGAATTTAGTTGTAAGGACTCTGGAGGCAAGTGATGTGTATGTAGGGGAATGAGGATCTTTTTTTTAATTAATTAATTAAATTTTTTTTTTTTTTTTAAGGTATAACTACAAAGTTGGGTGTCATTTTATTTATTTATTTGTTTATTTGTTTGTTTGTTTATACATGCACTGGGTACAGTCAGAAGCGCAGAAGGGTGAGAGAATTCACCAGAGCCAGAGCAGGGAGCAGAGCAGGCAGAAGGACCGAAGTACACTGCTGAGGGGAGCAGCGGGCGGCAGGAGAGGTCTGCGCGCCATGTGGGACCCTCCTCTGGTGGCCGGGGAGCAGCTGGAGATCGAACCGGCGCGGCAGAGGCTGCAGGCAGCTTCGCAACCCAGCGCTCAACCGCTGCGCCACCGGGGAAGCCCAATTAATTAATTTTTTAAGATTAAGAATTGGGGTACAGGCCAGAGATGTGGGGGGTAAGAGGATTCACCAGAGACAGAGCGGGGAACAGAACAGGCATACGGACTGAAGTACACTGCTGAGGGGAGCAGCGGGCGAGACAGGAGAGGTCTGTCCCGCCATGTGGGTTTCTCTATGGCTGCATTGCTTCATAGGTTGCTTCTTAACCCTTGCGCCACCAGGGAGGCCCAAATGAGGATCTTAAAAAACAAAAACCACCTCTCTGGCCTCCCTTTGGTGCCCTAGGGGTTGAGTCTCAGCATTACAACCAAGGCCCACCATAATAGTTCAGAGCTGGCCCACATTGTGCAGCAGACCTCCCCTGTTTCACCTGCTACCCCCACTCTGTTTCTGGCAAATCCTCTCGTCCCCTGCACCTCTGGCCTACACCCCAGTTTTATCCAAAAATCAGCAAATCTTCCAAAAAAAACAAAACATCTCTCAAACTTAATGTAACTGGGGCTAGATGGTTGTGATCAAGTGCTACTGACATATCATGGGCACAGGTGGAGTTTGGACATTCATTCTTGCCTTATTATATCTCATTTTCTTTTTAGTAGATAAGTAGTTTAGTTTTCTAAGGTCTTTCACCTCTTATTTTATGATTTAAAGAAGATAAAGTTGTTAGAGTCTGAATATAGTTGCTATGGTGGAGGGGAAGGAGGGATGGACCCAAAAGTGTCAGATTGATTAAAATGGAAGACTTATAGGGCCTCCCCGGTGGCGCAGCAGTTGAGCGCTGGGTTGCAAAGCTGCCCGCAGCCTCTGCAGCGCCGGTTCGATCCCCGGCTGCTCCCCGGCCACCGGAGGAGGGTCCCGCATGGCGTGCAGACCTCTCCTGCCGCCCGCTGCTCCCCTCAGCAGTGTACTTCGGTCCTTTTGCCTGCTCTGCTCCCCGCTCTGGCTCTGGTGAATTCTCTCACCCTTCCGCGCTTCTGACTGTACCCAGTGCTTTTATAAATAAAATGAATAAATAAATAAATAAAAATAAATCTTTAAAAAAAAAAAATGGAAGACTTATAAAGAGATCAGTCAGGGCCTGCCTGATGGTGCAGAGGTTAAAGTCTCAGTGCTATCAAGCTAGCACCAGCCACTGGGACATGAGCTTTATCCCTAGGAGTAACCAATATGGCCCAGCAGACCTTTCCTTTCTTGCCTGTGGCTCCCTTCAGCACTATATTTTCAGAGGCAGAGCGGGGAGCAGAACAGGCAGAAAGACTGAAGACACTGTTGAGGGGAGCAGCAGGTGAGGCAGGAGAGGTCTGCCGCACCATGTGGGTATCTCCCTGGCTGGCCAGGAATCGAACCTGCGTTGCAGAGGCTGTGGACAGCCTCACAAAAGTGCTGCACTCAACTGCTTGTGCCACCATGGAGGTCCAATAAAAATCTTAAAAAGATAATATTAATAAAAATAAACCTTTAAAAAAAACTATATGCAGAGAAGAGAAGAACTGGGGTGTAGGCCAGAAGTGTGGGAGGTGAGAGGATTCACTAGAGACAGTGGGGAGCAGAACAGGCTGATAAACTAAAATACACTGCTGAGGGGACCAGCGGGTAAGACAAATGAGGTCTGCTGTGCCATGTGGGTGGATCCAACTCATGCCACAGTGGGTGGCGATAGCTTGATAGCACTGAGACTTGAAGCCCTGCACCCCAAGGGAGGTCCCAATAAAATAAAAAAAATCAGTGAGCTACTGATACTATTTGCAACTTGTAAAAAAAAAAAAAAGATTTATTTATTTATGCATATAAGAACTGGGGTGTAAGCCAGAGGTGTGGGGATGAGAGGCAGAACAGGCAGATCTACTGAAATACACTGCTGAGGGGAGCAGTCTGCGAGTCAGGAGAGGTCTGCAATGCTCTGTGTGTTGCTTCCAAACCAAAGGGATCAAATTCATGCTGCAGTGACCAGCTCATGTTTGCAGTGGCTGGCTGGCAATAGCTTGATAGTGCTGTCTTTAACAAATCCCTTGTCACCAGGGAGACACCCCCTCCCCCCCATTTGTAACTCTCTACACCTGATGCATTGAAGGGCAGACAGTTGCTCATACTGCCCCCTGGTGGGGTATTATGTTTATTACAAAGACTAGAAACCAAGGCATGAAGGTAATTTTCCTAGGATCCTGCATATATACTTGACTTTTGAACTTAAATTTTCATGATTCTTTGAGGCTTGGTTCTTTAGAATCTTTTGGCCTCTGCTGCTTTTCATCCCATTAGATCAGGCATTGCTTTCTGTGTGGATCCTCTTATAAATTACCATTTGATGGTTAACACTTGAGAGGCTATGAATACCAAGCGCTCTGTATCAAGTGCTTTATTGTGTTGACAAACAGCCCTACATTTCTATTTTTAAGGCAATAAACCAATACTTTTAAATAATACTTGCTAATAGTGTTAGAACTTGGATCTAAATTGAAATTACCTTTTTTTGGTAATTAAAATTATGAAAAAAGGTATTGTTTAGGGCCTTCTGTTTGGAGAGGTATAGTTGTAAGTGCCATGAAGCCCTAGTGGGAAGGAGCTTTAAGTTGGCAGGGTCCTTCTTGCTGCTTCATTCTTTTTTTTTTTTTTTTTTAAAGATTTATTTTTATTTATTTATACAAGCACTGGGTATAGTCAGAAGCACGGGAGGGTGAGAGAATTCACCAGAGCCAGAGTGGGGAGCAGAGCAGGCAGACTGAAGTACACTGCTGAGGGGAACAGCGGGTGGCAGGAGAGGTCTGTGCGCCATGTGGGACCCTCCCTCTGGTGGCCGGGGAGCAGCCAGGGAGCAGCCGGGGATCGAACCGGCGCTGCAGAGGCTGCGGGCAGCTTTGCAACCCAGCACTCAACTGCTGCACCACCGGGGAGGCCCTGCTTCATTCTTGTCACAATTTAAAATTGAGCTGTTCTTGGGCCTACACCCCAGCTCTTGTATGCATAAATAAATAAATCTTTATTTATTTATTTATTTATTTTTAATTAAAGCAGTGGCTGGTTTCCCTTGCCTCATTTTCCTTAGATTAGTCCAAAGGCATTCTAGCTCAGGATATTAGGAAAAGATTGAAGATAATTCTTTCTGCATAAGTAGATGAAAGAGGGCCTCCCCGGTGGTGCAGCAGTTGAGCGCTGGGTTGCAAAGCTGCCCGCGGCCTCTGCTGCAGTTCAATCCCCATCCCCGGCTGCTCCCCGGCCACCGGAGGAGGGTCCCACATGGCGCGCAGACCTCTCCTGCCGCCCGCTGCTCCCCTCAGCAGTGTACTTCGGTCCTTCTGCCTGCTCTGCTCCCTGCTCTGGCTCTGGTGAATTCTCTCACCCTCCCGCGCTTCTGACTGTACCCAGTGCATGTATAAACAAAACAAACAAATAAAATAAATAAATAAAAACATGTCTCTATTAAAAAAAAAAAAAGTATATGAAAGATTCAATATGAAGCCTCAGACCTTTGATTCTGAGGGGTAGAAGGCATTTACTTTGTGAAACAAACATGGCCTTATGTGATGGTCCTCTCACTTTGTATGTTAGGCTTATACAGTTTGGCAATAAATAACACTGAGGAGTGGTGAAATGGTTGCTGCCTTCTCAAGAGGCAGCTTAGCGTTAGTAATTTACACAGTCCAAACTTTGTTATTTACTTAGCTTTTTTTCCCCTTAGGTATGTGACAGTCATTTAAAGTTTTATTTTTTTATTTTTAAAGATTTATTTATGAATACAAGAGCTGGGGTACAGGCCAGAGATATGGGGGTGAGGATTCACCAGAGACAGAGTGGAGAACAGAACAGGCAGACTTAAATACACTGCTGAGGGAGCAGCAGGCGAGACAGGAGAGGTCTGCACCATGTGGGTTGCTCCCTGGCCCTCCGGAGATTGAAATTGTGCTGCAAGGGCTGCAGATTGCTTCATAGTGCGGTACTTAACCCCTTGCGCCATCAGGGAGGCCGCCAGCCTTTGCCCATTTTTTTAATTGGTTTATCTTGTTGAACTGTGGGGGTTCTTTAGATTTTGGTATACCTTAGAAACAATATATAAATACTTTCTCATTCTGTGAATCTTCATTTTCTTGATACCCTTTCTTGATGTACAAGTTTTATTCCTTGTGCTTCTGGTATCATTTAAGAATATATTTGTCTAAGGTCATGAAGTCTGTCTGTCCCCCGTGTCCCATCCCCCTGCCCCCATTATATTGAAAGAATTTAATTAATGATACCTTCCTTTTTCAGTGTGTCCAGCCGGCTGGAAACCTGGTAGTGATACCATCAAGCCTGATGTCCAGAAGAGCAAAGAATATTTCTCTAAACAGAAGTGAGCCCTGGACCATTTTTAGGGCCAGGCTGCAGTGAGCAGTCCTAAGAACCAAACTTCCTGTTATTGTCATGCTTAAAACACACCTTAGACTCAGCTCAGATATGGTATGGGATGGGACAGGTCTTTCCTACAGGGGTTGGGAGGGCCTGCCTTTCTTCCCTTGGAGAGATTGGCCTTAGTTGTGCTGTGGGGTAGGCCAACTTATGTGTATAGTAGAGTCATCACTTTTGATCTTTTGTAGTTTTATTAAACTTAAACTGAGACTTGGTTGATTTTTCCTATTAATGGGCATTATTAGCATTTAATTTTAAAGGGAACGAATGAGAAGTGCTGTTTCAATCAGGATACCATATTGAGGGGGACATGTATGCCAAGATGTTAACATTTTATTTCATTTCATCTGGGAGAGAAGAGCAAGATCTGTAGTATTGATGAAGGCAATGCAAGTTATGCTATTAGCTGGATTGCATTGCAGGTAAAGGCCCCAGAGATGCAACTTGGACCATTTACCTTTCAGTACTGGGAGGGCTGCAGGAGAAGCAGAAGTTTGACGTTTCTGATAAATGCCAACACTGCCCCTGTGAAAGACCAGAATTACAGATTTCTGTACTTCTGGGACTGAAAGATAGGGGCTTGGGTGGTGCTAGACAGGACTGATGATGTGTGTCAACTTTCCATGTGTTTCAGCTTTGATTTGCGGGTAGTTCTTATTTTAGCCATCATTCATACTGTTCTGAGGAAGGTTGTCAGTGGGGACAAGGCGGGTTCTTCTTGGACTCTTTTTTTTTTTAAAGATTTATTTTTATACAAGAGCTGGGGTATAGGCCAGAGGCATGGGAGGGTGAGAGGATTCATCAGAGACAGTGGGGAACAGAACAGGCAGACTGACTGAAACATTGCTAAGGGGAGCAGCGGGCACTACAGGAGAGGTCTGCTGCACCATGTGGGATTCTTGCTGGCCGGCCGGGATTGAACCCCCACTGCTGAGGCTGCGGACAGCTTCACAGTCTGCATTCAACCCGCTGCGCCACCAGGGAGGCCCCCTTCCTGGACTGTTAAGGGGCCTAGGGCAAAATTCAGAACAGTATGTGGTGCCCTTCCAGACAACTTAGCTACCCCAACTTTCCCATAATCTCCACTATTCAAAGCTACAAGTAGCAGCACAGGATTCCCAAGGCCTTCAATAATTGCAGGCAGAGGCTATTGGAACAATTTCAGAAGTGCTCTTTACATATATTTACTCATTCTACGGCAACTGTATAAGGTGGTTTCCCCTGAGGCCTGTTAATAAGTAGCATCTTGGAACACTAGAGAAAATGGTTGTGCGATATTCTGAAGCAGGTGTGAATTTTAGATTTGCCCTTGGCTTTAGATTTCTTGACCAAACTACTCTTGAGCCTTCATTGGTGATCTCTACTATATTTTATCAAAAATAGTCATCTTATACCCAAACTAAACCCTAGGTATGTGCAAGCTAAATAAGTCCTAGTACCTCTGTCATAAATAGGGTTTCCATAGGGAAGGAGAGTATCAAGGACTGGTCGATGGCAGTGGTGAGTCCTTGGGGTTGAGCCAGCTCCCAGCTCTGCTGGGATTCTGAGGCTTCTTGTGTGTGAATGTGGTAAAAGGAAGTTCAGGGGATGCAGAGCATGGTTCAGCGGGCTGAGCCAAACCTAGTAAGGCCAAACGCTGGGCAGGTGGAGTGGAAAAGTAGGCCTTCTGCTCTTCAGAGTAGCGCTCCTGGGGTGTCACAACATCCCGGTAAGTCCAGTCTTGCCAATGGAAATTGAAACCTTCAAGCAGGGTGATTCTGTCAGCTCTTTTGGGTACACAGTCGAGGGGCTCTGTGGGTGGCAGATCTGGCACCTGTATTCCTGGCAGCAGCACCACCCCCCGGATGGCAAACCAGCCCCCAAATCGGGGGTGTACACAAACACCTGATATGTGCTGAGGAGAGGGTAAAGAAAAGTAAGGTCATGGAGGTCACCTTGGCCCCAAGTCCAACTACTATCCCTGCAAGCTAGATTTGTTCACTTCTCAATGGACACCCAATTCCATGTGTGAGCACCTGTTAATCCAGTGATTGGGCCTCCCCCATTACACTGAGCCCCAGCTATCTCACCACTGGTCTAATTGCTCTGCTCCCTCCATTACAACAGCGCTTTAAGAACTGGCCAGGTTCTTTGACTGCATTTATCCCCAGCTAGATGCCAGAAAGCATGTGGGGTTAAGTCTTGACCAGAGCACATCTTTGTCCTAGATGTCCACTAGCCTCTTTAGCCAGGAGAGGTGGGGCGAGTGGGAACTGATTATCTTGAGACCTTTGTTTTCTCTCAGTTCCTACTCATTCACACTTTGCCCTCTGACCTGGGTCCCCCAGGGGTCAGCCTCCACATCCCGTCGTTGGTAGTAGTACGCAGCTCCTGCCACATGGGCTGCTGTCTGGGCCAGAATCTTGGGGCGCCGGTTGGGGTGTACTTCATAGTCAGCAATGACTTCCATCTGTAGCTCTGGGAGGCTCTGGGACACACAGGACAAAATGGGAGGCTCATGAGTGGAATCATGACCTTCCTAGAGGACCCTAATTTGTGTTGACATGGCCCTGTCTTCTGGTCACATTCACAGGTTACACAACTTAAAACTTGGGGGGGGAGGGGGTTCCAAGTTGAGGAAAATAATACCCTGTCCAGGAGGGAATATTTGAAGGGAAGCACACAAGGTTTTCCTCCAAAATTATCATGAGGAGTGATGTGGCTCTACTCCAGAGTCTCAGCATGGAGGAAAATCTAGGAGACCCAGTATGTGTGTATACAGGGGAACTGGTTTCAAAAATCCCCACAGATGGTCTCACTCATAGCAGGAATTTAGAAAACCTAAATAAGGGACCAGGAAAAAGACTAATTAATACAAAGTAAAAATCAAAATTAACAAGCAACTATAAACCAGAGACACATCCGGGGGGGGGGGGGTGTAGGGGAGACGAAGTACCAGGGTAAAAATAAGGGGGGGGGGTGGCAATTGTATGGGGAATATAACCAAAATGATAATGTATACGTTGTGCAAAAATGAAAAATGATGTAAGAATTATATAAAATAAAAAAAAATCTCCACAGATAGCATAAAGCTTCCAGATCTAAGGCAAAGGGGTGAGAGAGATCTGGGGGGATATTGGGCTTAGTTTCTATTTTCACTTGGAAACCAAGGGAAATCAGAGGTTCATAAAAGTTGCCTATTGGAGCTAAGATTTGGAAACAACCCAAATGCCCAAAAATAGATGACTGGATCAAGAAGATGTGGTACATATACACCATGGAATAGTACTCAGCAATCAAAAAAAATAAACACATGCAATTTTCAGCAACATGGATGGAGCTGGAAGGGATCATGCTCAGTGAAATAAGCCAGAAAGAAAAAGAAAAATACCGGATGATCTCACTCATAGCAGAAATCTAGAAAACTTAAATAAGGGACCAGGAAAAAGAATAAGAAAGATAATATCAAAATCAACAAATAACTATGAACAAGAGACACTCTATGGGGGTGGGGGGCGGGGAAAGGAGGGCTTGGGGTAAAAATAAGGGGGTTGTAATTGTATGGGGAATATAAAAATAAAAATTAAATTAAAAAAGTTGCCTATTGGTGTAGGGTGATTTCAGACTTAGGGGCTGCTAGACAGGTGGGGAACCTGGGATGAGAAGGCAGAATATGGTGAGAGCACAATGTCAAAGCTGGTGTTATGGTATCCTTACTGGGAAGTGGCTCTTAGCTCTAGGTAGATTTATTTATTTATTTATTTATTTTTATAGAGGCATGTTTTTATTTATTTATTTGTTTGTTTTGTTTGTTTATACATGCACTGGGTACAGTCAGAAGCGCGGAGGCAGAGCAGGCAGGACCAAAGTACACTGCTGAGGGGAGCAGCGGGCGGCAGGAGAGGTCTGCGCGCCATGTGGGACCCTCCTCCGGTGGCCGGGGAGCAGCTGGGGATCGAACCGGCGCCGCAGAGGCCGCGGGCAGCTTCGCAACCCAGCGCTCAACCGCTGCGCCACTGGGGAGGCCCTCTAGGTAGATTTAGATCCTCCACTGAGCTTGGAAGAACTGGAAGCTGCTACAGGATTGGAAGTTGGAGGATATGAGCCTTGCTCACCTCTCTAACTCGTCCCAAGTGGTAGGCCACACACTGGTCCACAGGATCAGTCAGAGGTCGGAGGTGGCAGCTCTGCAGGAAGGGCTTGAAGGCCCGCTCAAACATGGCAGGTGTGCTGAGTACCAGGAAAGCCAAGGTAGGTCCTGGCAGGGGCAGGTGGAAAGCTGGAGGTAGAAGTGCATTGTACCTTGCCACCTGGAACAGAGAAAGTATCAGGCCATGCTGGAGGGTCGCGGTGGGTTTCAACCAGGCCTAGATCTTAGCCTGGCATTCAAGACTTCACATCTTGCTCTAGCCTTCATCTGATTCAGTAAATGAATTTTCACTGGTGGTATAGTGATGTATGTTTAGTCAGACTTGTTGGAATTTGTTAAAGTTTAGAGGCAGAGAATTCATGAAGAACAAAAGTAAATTGTACTGCCTTTAGTGCAATGACAGGGCCAGATGAAGGTCCTCTGAAATTAGAGAAGGCTTCTTGGAAGCTGAGTCTTGAAGGCTGGGAAAGAAACTGACAGGCTGATGTGGGAGAATCTGGTGTGTATTCTATTATTTTTTTTAAGATTTATTCATGTATACAAGAACTGGGGCACAGGCCAGAGGTGTGGGGGGTGAGAGGATTCACCAGAGACACAGTGGGGAACAGAACAGGCAGACTGACCAAAATACACTGCTGAGGGGAGCAGCGGGTGAGTCAGGAGAGTTCTGCTGCGCCACATGGGCAGCTCCCTGGCCGGGGATCAAACTTGCGCTGCAGGGGCTGCGGACAGCTCCATAGGTTGTGTTCCAACCCCAGGCGCCACCAGGGAGGCCCCTGGTGTGTATTCTAAATAGAGGTCACAGCATAAACAAAGGCAGAAAGCACAGTGTGTATTTGGAGAATAGCAAATTGTATAGTTTGATGGAAGAGGGGACTGTAGAAGGCCTGTAGAGGGGATCAGAGATACTTAAGTTTGGATAGATCCATAGGAGTGAGATTGTGACTAGCCTTAAATAACAATTTAAGGAATATGGTCTAATTTGGTGACAATGAGGGGCTTGTCATTGAAGATTTAAAGGTCAATCTGGGGGCCTCCCTGGTGGCACAATGGGTTAAGACGCAACCCATGAAGCTATCTGCAGCCACTGCACAATCCCCAGCCAGGGAGCTACCGACAAGGCGCAGCAGACCTCTCCTGACTCGCCCGCTGCTCCCCTCAGCAATGTATTTCAGTCAATCTGCCTGTTCTGTTCCCTACTCTGTCTTTGGTGAATCCTCTCACCACCCCCCACCTATGGCCTGTATCCCAGTTCTTTCATGCAAAAATAAATAAATCTTAAAAAAAAAAAAAAGGTGGGGCCTCACCAGTGGCACAGCGGGTTGAGCACCATGCTGTGAAGCTGTCGGCAGCCTCTGCAGCGTGGGTTCGATTCCTGGCCGGCAAAGGAAATACCCACATGGTGTGGCAGGCCTCTCCTGCCTCACTTGCTACTCCCCTCAGCAGTTTCTTCAGCCTGTTTGTCTGTTCTTCTCCCTGCTCTGTCTCTGGTGAATCCCCTCACCCTCCTGTGCCTCTGGCCTGTACCCCAGTTCTTGTATAAATACATAAATCTAAAAAAAAAAAAAAAAAGGTCTCCCTGGTGGCGCAAGGGGTTATGCACCACACTATGAAGCAATCCTGCAGCCTCTGCAGCACGAGTTCGATCCCCGGCCGGCCAGGGAGCACCTCTCATCCCCCCACACCTCTGGCCTGTACCCCAGCTCTTGTATGCATAAATAAATAAATCTTTTTTTTTAAAAAAAAAAAAGGTCAATCTGGGCTTCCCTAGTGGCACAGGGGTTAAAGTCTCAGCACTTGTCTAACTATCACCAGCCACTGCAGCATGAGTTTGATCCCCGGCCAGGGAGCTAACCCACATGGTGCAGCAGACCTCTCCTGTCTCCCCTACTGCTCCCCTCAGCAGTGTATTTCAGTCAATCTGCCTGTTCTGCTCCCCACTCTGTCTCTGGTGAATCCTCTCAACCCTGCACCTCTGGCCTAGACCCCAGTTCTTATATGCATAAATAAAATAAATCTTTAAAAAAATAAAAAGGTCAATCTGGCTGCAGTGTGAAGATGGATTGGAGGCATACTGAAAGCAAGCAGGTTACTGCAGTAATACAAGTGAGAAATAGTGGCTTGGGCTAGAGCATAGATGAGTGAGTGGATTTAGATTTAATAGACAAGAATCCTTGATGTCTTGGTCACTGATTGTATGTGGGGGTGAGAAAGTGAGGGAGGTTGGAGCCGAGGATGACTGGTAGGTGTGCAGATGTCTGTTCAATATAATAATTCTCACTACTCAGGTCTACCTGACCCCCTAGATAGGCATTCTCAATATCTTTCCTTTACATGCTCTCCAGATGCAGTTTGCATACACAGCCCAGCACTGGTAATTGAAAACATCATGAATTATCTTTCTATTGGTGGATGGAACAAAGCAGCCGATTGTTTGCTCTTTCAACACCAGGAATGCCCTTTTCTCCTGAATGACCTAAATCCTAGTCATGCAAACCTTCCAGGCCTCCTCCTCTGCTAATGCCGTTAGCAAGCTTCGAAGGTGACTCTGGCTCCACGGGTTCCTTTCTTTCAGTATATTATGTCGGTGACAAAGCCACAAGGTTACTGGATCAAATGGTGCCTCCCATTTATCCACAAGGCATTATATGGGAGTACAAGGACAAACGTAAAACCACTTCTTTTTTAACCAAAGGCCCCGCAGACACTCTGTCCCGGTAGGTCAGAGGGACACCGGGCCAGACGAGCTCGGGCAGGATCTGAAAACTCTCACGCCACACTCCAGTAGCACCAAGATCAGTCATACACTTAGCCCTACACTTAGCAGCAGAGATAAACCAACCTGGAAGGGGTAAACCTCGAAGCCAAAGGGGCACAACGTGTTCTCAATCTTCAGCTTCAGCTCGGCGACTTGCGGCTCCATAATGAGCGCTACGCGCTGAGCTTGCTGGGGAATGGAGTCTCAAGGATACCCTGGGGCGTTATGTTTCGAGGTATGTTGGACTCCATTTCCCAAGAACTGATGAAACCGGCCCCGGGACCTTGTTGACTCCCCGTGTTGCATTCTGGGGTGCGTAGTTCACTCCGTCCTCAGAGACAACCACAACAGTGAGAAAGACTCGGTTTCCCAGCAAGCCTCACGGTGGGGGTATGTCTGCCCCTATTGCTTCCCGGGAAATGTAGTTCATCAGCCTCCATCGCCCGTTGTCTCCACGAAAGTCGAACTCAGTTTCCCAAGTGGCGCTGGGGCAGCCAGTCGGAAGTTGCATTTCCCTTCCCACCAGGGTTTGAACCTGGCAGCGGCAGTAATCATTGATCATTGTTGAGCCTGATGACCCCCGCGTCCTGGATCTGGGGAGGTCCCGCCCAAGATTCGGCACTTTTAACTTCTACCGTATCTGCGTATCAGAGTGTCCCTCTTTTCCACCAGTTCTCCAAGGGCGCTTCTCTCCTGACTAGTCCTGAAGGCGCAGTTTCTGTCTGATACTGCATCCCTACTCCCCAATTTCGAACTGTCGTGGCCTTTCCTGGGCTGTGCTGCGGATGTCCCGGGAGAGAAAGGACACGAAACTCCAGGGAATCAGGCTCCGCAAGCGACATGAGTAGGAACTTGAGCTGGTCTGAGCAGCCCCACGAGCTTCTCAGTGCTGCTGCTGGAAATGTGGCCCTAATTAAGGTGAGGGGGCGCTTGGGGCCCCCGGATTAGGGGTGTGGGTTAACGGATTCTTAGACCTTATTGGCCTGTACACGTGTTTATTTTGTAGCAGCGGATGTATCCCCTTGGGGTTGTCTCTGCAGGTACTACCCCCGCCCTTTTTTTTTTTTACTGCCCCGCCCTCTCCTGTCCCCCTCCGCCCCCCGCCTTTTTTTACTGGATGTCTTTTCCCAGTGTTTGTACTATTTTCTAGCGCATCCAAATTCCAAATCTTACTTTTCCTGAGCACACATTTATGTGTCCTTCTCCCCCTTCATGCCTCCCCAACACATACACAGATAGGTTTTGCTTATTTCCTCAGCAGCCGACCTGACAGACCCGGATTTCCCCTCATCCCTGGCCTCACTTGCCTCCCCCATTAGGAGTCTAAGCTCAACAGCCTTGGACTCGGGAGACTCCGATTGTTTCAGAGGGCCTCAGATCCACGGTTCAATCCCAGGTTCAGATGAGACTTGGAATCTTAAGTGTGCATTTGTGGTGGTGTTTTTTTTTTTTTTTAAGATTTATTTTTATTTATGCATACAAGAACTGGGTACAGGCTAGAGATGCAGGGGATGAGAGGATTCAGTAGAGACAAGAGTGGAGAGCAGAATCTACTGAAATACACTGCTGAGGGGAGCAGCGTGTGAGGCGAGAGAGGTCTGCTGTGCCATGTGGGTTAGCTCCCTGGCCAGCCAGGGATCGAACTCATGCTGTAGTGGCTGGCAATAGCTCGATAGCTCTGTGTCTTTAACCACTGTGTCACCAGGGAGGCCCGACTTTCAATATTTTTTGACTGTGACCTCCAGTAAGAAATACAGTGTACATTGTAGTCTTGTAAATACATGTGTACAAAACAAAAATACACGTGTACATAAAACAAAAATTTTATGATACAATACTTGTTCTTTCTAGAAGCCATGTACTCTGTTATTTTATATTAAAAGAAATGCCTGGGCCTCCCTGGTGGTGCAGCGGTTGAGCGCTGGGCCTCTGCAGCACCGGTTCATTCCCTGGCAGGGGAGGGTCTCACAAAAAAAAAAAAAAAAAAAAAGAAGAAATGCCTGAGGCCATTGGTTCTCAACTTTCCACCACTTAATTGCTGTCTGGAAAATGTATCTTTTCCAGGTAGAGTAAGGGAAGTTTTACTCTGGTGTTTTTTTTGTTAAGTATTTTATTTATTTAGTAGAACTGGAGTGTAGGTCAGAAATGCCTGTGTGTGTGTGTGTGTGTGAGAGAGAGAGGATTCATCAGAGACAGAGTCGGGAGCAGAACAGGCATACTGAAATACACAGCTAAGGGGAGCAGCGGGCAAGACAGGAGAGGTCTGCTGAGCTGTATGTGGGTTAGCTCCATGGCAGGGGATTGAACTGGCCCCAGTCCAGTTTCTTTAGAGGTAAGCATCTTACTGAGTTCACAGGAAGTCTTTTCCACTGCTAAATAGAACTGAAAGATAATGCCATTCATCCCGTCGGTGGATGCTTAGTCAACCTAGTACATACCAGTCCCAGTAGGTATTTGCCCTGAAGATGTGATGTACAGTGAGCTCATGTGTAAGTCCAGCTCATAGATCAGTCTACCTGGGAAAAGGAGACAGTTACATGAAATAAAAGCATAACAAAAGGCTGAGGTGAGTAGAGCAGGAACCATTTCCACTAATGGCTACATTCAAGGCCCTGGCCTAACTAGAAGACAGGTTATGAGGAGTGGGCTTTGACACCGGAATAGGAATTCCTTCATTCTTACAGCATAGGGAGACTGCTGAGACTAGAATGGTAGAGATCAGACCCAGGTCAAACAAACTGTTCAAAATAAAAACTCCCCATCAAGGCTCATATATTCCACTGATGCAAGTGTGAGAAGGGATATTTTATAAATATTTTCCTGGTTAGGTGCTGCATATGGCATTATTCAATTCTACTTTCTACCTGTACTCTACTTACTTTTCAACTACTTTGCATCAGTCTCTGGGAGACCTATAAGTATGCCAGGACTCCATCAGGAACATTAAATCTGTACCAATGTGGAACAATTGTATTTGAACTGTCACCAGGTGGCAGCACATGACTTGCTGCCAGAGTGATACAGAAAAAGGCTTTGGGCCAAGGGGAGGAACTTGCTTAGGGTCTCCTCTCTTTCCTCTTTAAATTTCCAGTGAGCTACCAAATAAATCTTTTAAGACCACACCTTGTTAAGGTTACTCCCCTGATTAAGAATCATCGATAGCTCTCACAGCATAAAAAAGAACAAATAAGGTATAAGCCCAACCCACATTCAACTTTCTCTCCATTCTTATCTCCTACCACCTATCTTTCTTAAACATTGTTGCCACCACCAGGAATAGATACCACCTATACTCCAGCTATTCAAATCCCACTCATTTGTCAAGATCCTTCCAGTATGAGATAAGTCTAAAGATGTTTGGAAGGAGGACTTTAACCTGGAAGTGCTGTTACAGGAAGGCCCATATATCACTGTTTCTTTACCTGCTCTTGCCCTCAAAATTTAGTCTTGTTGCAGTCTGCTCAGGCACGAGATTATGAGATCCCCAGGTCCAGATGTAACAAGGGGCTGAAGCCAAAGACTAGCCCCCTGTTACACAGGCACATGGAAAGCACGAGGAAATATGTGCCTGTTGAATAGCTGAATTCCTATTCCCTACCTACTTTCAAAATCCTGTATTCAAGCCAGCTCCCTGGTACGTCCTCCCAGCAGTCTAATCAAATCTCTTATCTAGAGAAACTGCTCCTGCATTTTGTTGAAACCTACCCATTGCTCTTACTCTCTCAAGACACTAATATTTATGTATCAGTTCCCCGCTCCTGCCCCACAATACTGAGATCCTGTAGCTCGCTGCGTTCGTGACTTTTCCTTACTCAGCTATACCTTCACCAGCCCAAAGGCCGCGCCACTCGAATCCATTTTCAGCTGGCATCATCACTTTCCAATCACCTATACGTTCGGCATTTTGATTGGTAAATTTTGTATTTACAGCTCTGCCCTCTGAGAGGCTCCTGGACTCGGGTTTCCCCAGGTGTAGGCCCGCCCTCCCAATACACTGCCTCTTCTGTTTCTACCTCCACTTCCTTCTTAGGGGCTCGCTCGGTTCCCCGGAGTTGGCGCCTGGGACTTTTGATTGGCTTTTCTGAACGCCCGTTGTGCCCATCCACACACCACGTGGCATCCCAGCCGCTCACTGGACAGTCAGTCCTCCCGCTGGCTTCTCCAGGAGGACGAACGACTGACCGCCCCGAGGAAGGGCTGGAGCAGAGGGGCTCGGCCGGTGGAAGCCCGCCCCGCCCCCCGGCCCGCGCCCCGCCCTCTGGGGCGTTTCCGTCCACGGCTGCAGAGGCGGGAGAGGGGGTGGGGGGAGCCCAGCTCAGCTCCCGGCGAGCTGGCTCGCGAGGATCGTCCTCCCGGCCCAGCCAAACAGGCGGGGGAGCGGCCCGAGTCGGGCCATGGCAGCAGTCTCCTCGTCCTCCGCCGCCGCTAGCACCGCCGAATCGCCGGCTTCTGCGCGAGGGACCCCCACCACCTCGGCAGGCTAAGGAGCCGCTGCTGCCTCCGTGTTGTGAGGGCGACTATGCCCCCCTTTTGCTGCCGCCTCCCGCTCCCGCCCGCGCAGGCACCCCTCTGGCTGTTCAGTCCCGCCTCAGGTAACGCCGAGAGAGCCCTGGCGGGACCCCTTCGCTCTCCCGAGTCCGCAGCTGAGAGGCTGGGGACGCTGCTCCACCTCTTCTCCTGCCCTCAGAGTCGCGGACAGCTCCCCGCCCCTCCTCCCAGCCCCTCACACCCTCCCACCTCAGAGGGGGCGAACCCATAGAAGTTCCTGCCTCTCCGGGACTTCGTTTCCTCAGAAACTGTTTGAGACCTCTGACTCCACACAGAGAGCCTCCTCATCTCAGGACTCCCCCGAAGGTCTGGACTCTTTCACTTTGCTTTCCGCAGCCTTCCCTCGAAAAACACCCACTGCGAGCCCCCAGAGGAGGGGGGGGGGTCTGACACTACCCTTTTCTCTCCCCCACTCCTGTCACCATTCTCCGCTGCCTGCCTTTTCCTCCCTCTGCCTGCACTTTTCACGTGGGAGACTGGGCTAGAGCAGAATTCACATTTAGCTGGAAATAAAACCCAGGTCGGTCTGATAGAAAAACCTTTCGGTTTCTACCTCTTAGAAAACTTCGCTAATGAATTTGGGCATTGTTCTGTAAGCATGAGTGGCCATCGAAGGTTTTGTTAGTAGGAGTTTGGTGTGCTTGTTGTGTCTGAGGAATATGTGGAGGAAGAATGGAGAATGAAGCCGGTGTGGAGGCAGAAGGCTTAGGTAGGCGGGAACGGTGTGCTAATCCAGGTCAGAGGGGGATGGACTGGGATGGCGGTAAGAAAATTAAGAGCATGAGGAGTTAGTCCATGAAGTTTCAAAATAGAGTTTAGAGGGTGGGTGGGAAGTTTTGAACTTGTCTGATGGGATGGAATGATATTAGCAGTTGAAACAGAAAAAAGAAATGTGAAGGGAAGGTAATGACTGTAGGTTTGGATCAGTTTAGTTTGAGGCTTTTTTCAGATATAACTGGGGTAACTGGACATTTAGGTCTGAAATTGGGAAAAAGGTTGGACCTGAGTTCATAAATTTGAGGGTCAAAGGAGAAATTGCAGGAGATATTTGATGCCTTAGTGTGATAGTAATACTGACAGAAGAAAAGAGAAGGGGGCCCTCCCTGGTGGTGCAGGGGTTAAGGTCTCAACACTGTCAAGTGATGGCCAGCCACTGCCTCATGAGTTCCATTCCAGGACAGGGAGCTGACCCACATGGGACAGCAGACCTCTCCTGTCTCATCCGCTGCTCCCCTCAGCAGTGTATTTCAGTCAGCCTGCCTGTTCTGCTCCCCACTCAGTCTCTGGTGAATCCTCTCACACACATACTCCCCTCCCCGCGCCCCACACCTCTGGCCTACACCCCAGTTCTAATATGCATAAATAAATAA